ACCTCTGAGAGGTTTCAAAACACATTGTATGATGTTCTCTAGCTGTCACAATACATATATAGTACTTGAATTTACATTTGGAAGCAATTTAAATTTTTTGAAAAATTTAAATCGTTTAAATCCTACTTAATTTGACCTCTGAGAAGTTTCAAAACACATTGTATGAAGTTCTCTATCTGTCACAATGCATATATAGTACTTGATTTTACATTTGAAAGCAATTTAAATTTTTCAAAAAATTTAAATTGTTTAAATCTTACTTAATTTGACCTCTGAGAGGTTTCAAAACACATTGTATGATGTTCTCTATCTGTTGCAATCCATATATAGTACTTGATTTTACATTTGGAAGCAATTTAAATTTTTTGAAAAATTTAAATCGTTTAAATCCTACTTAATTTGACCTCTGAGAGGTTTCAAAACACATTGTATGTTGTTTTCTATCTGTCACAATACATATATAGTACTTGATTTTACATTTGAAAGCAATTTAAATTTTTTGAAAAATTTATATCGTTTAAATCTCACTCTATTTGGCCTCTGGGAAGTTTCTAAACACATTGTATGATGTTCTCTATTTGTTGCAATACATATATAGTACTTGATTTTACATTTGGAAGCAATTAAATTTTTTTTGAAAAATTTAAATCGTTTCAATCTTACTTAATTTGACCTCTGAGAGGTTTCAAAACATATTGTATGATGTTCTCTATCTGTCACAATACATATATAGTACTTGATTTTACATTTGGAAGCAATTTGAATTTTTTGAAAAATTTAAATCGTTTAAATCTCTCTCTACTTGAACTCTGAGAGGTGTCAAAACACATTGTATGACGTTCTCTATCTCTTGCAATGCATATATAGTACTTGATTTTACATTTGGAAGCAATTTAAATTTCTTGAAAAATTTAAATCGTTTAAAACTTACTTAATTTGACCTCTGAGAGGTTTCAATACATATTGTCTGATGTTCTTTATCTGTCACAATACATATATAGTACTTGATTTTACATTTGGAAGCAATTTGAATTTTTTGAAAAATTTAAATCGTTTAAATCTCACTCAATTTGACCTCTGAGAGGTTTCAAAACACATTGTATGATGTTCTCTATCTGTTGCAATACATATATAGTACTTGATTTTACATTTGGAAGCAATTTAAATTTTTTGAAAAATTTAAATCGTTTAAATCTTACTTAATTTGACCTCTGAGAGGTTTCAAAACACATTGTATGATGTTTTCTAGCTGTCACAATACATATATAGTACTTGAATTTACATTTGGAAGCAATTTAAATTTTTTGAAAATTTAAATCGTTTAAATCCTACTTAATTTGACCTCTGAGAAGTTTCAAAACACATTGTATGAAGTTCTCTATCTGTCACAATGCATATATAGTACTTGATTTTACATTTGGAAGCAATTTAAATTTTTTAAAAAATTTAAATCGTTTAAATCTTACTTAATTTGACCTCTGAGAGGTTTCAGAACACATTGTTTAATGTTCTCTATCTGTCACAATACATAAATAGTAATTGATTTTACATTTGGAAGCAATTTAAATTTTTTGAAAAATTTAAATCGTTTAAATCTCACTCTATTTGACCTCTGAGAAGTTTCAAAACACATTGTATGATGTTCTCTATCTCTTGCAATGCATATATAGTACTTGATTTTACATTTGGAAGCAATTTAAATTTCTTGAAAAATTTAAATTGTTTAAAACTTACTTAATTTGACCTCTGAGAGGTTTCAAAACAAATTTTATGATGTTCTCTATCTGTTGCAATACATATGTAGTACTTGATTTTACATTTGGGAGCAATTTGAATTTTTTGAAAATTTTAAATCGTTTAAATCTTAATTAATTTGACCTCTGAGAGGTTTCAAAACACATTGTATGATGTTTTTTATCTGTCACAATATATATGTAGTACATAATCTTACATTTGGAAGCAATTTAAATTATTAAAAAAATTTAAATCTTTTAAATCTCACTCTATTTGACCTCTGAGAGGTTCCAAACACATTGTATGATGCTCTGTATATCTCACAATACAAATATAGTACTTGATTTTAAATTTTGGAAGTAATTTAAATTTTTTCAAAGTTTAAATCGTTTAAATCTCACTTTATTTAACATTTGAGCGATTTAAAAAACACATTGTTTGATGAATTCTATTCGTCACAAAAATATAGCCCTCGATTTTTAAAAGAAATTAAATTGTTTAAGTGATATTTTATTTGACCTTAAAGAGATTTTGGAACATTAAGTTTTATGTTCTCCATCTGTCCAAATACAAATTTACACAAATCAATATCAATTACCTAAAAAACATTATTCTGAATGAAAATCCCAGTCAAAATCTTATCTCATTTCATCAAAAATTGGACGGAAGACCCACTCGTTGCTCGCAACGAGATCGTATCTAGTTATTTTTTTTTTCTTACCGATTTTGTGCACGCGATTTCTCGAAAACGGCTCAACAAAATCTTATGAAACTTTCAGGACGTATGGAACATCACTTGAACCTTATGCGTTATTTTCCGTTTCGATGACGTCACTTCCGGTCTAGAGATATCGTCGATTTTCTGATTTTTAAGGGTCATTTTGTCCACAATTTTCCCGAAAAACGGCTCTAGATAGAAACTTCAAACTTTGAGGCTAGGTAGAGCTATGTCTGGAGAGGTGCATCAGGTATATCAAATTTACCGGAAGTGACGCTCGTCGGCGCTCGCTATGGCCCGAAAATAGACCTATCACAAATTTCAAAATTTCTCACACCTTTTCTTCGATATCTTTTTACCTGAAAATATTTTGTGAAAACGTATAGAACAAAAGAAGTGCAGAATTAAAAGATCTTTCAAATGATATCTCAAAAAAAGGGCTGGCCCCTAAATTTAAGGGCCTAGAGGGGCCAACAGTTTTTTCTTTATATCTCAAAACGTATTGAGAATTTGTAATACGTCAAAGAAGCAAAGTTGTTAAAAATGACAAGCTTAATCTATTGAAGTCGTCAGAAAACGTCCGGCGTCGTCACTTCCGTCCAAACCGGAAGTAGTCGAAAAACGCGTATTTTTGCCGTTCTTGACAAGTTTTTTGGTAACAAATGTCTCCAGAAGCAAAAAAATAATTTTTTCGTCCGTTGTCGTCACTTCCGGTCAAAACGGAAGTAGCAAAAAATTGCTTATTTTTGCATTAATTAACATAGCGTTAAAGGATTCAAACCATTTTTAGGCGTTATTTCTCATTTTTGTTAAAAATTAATACTACTTCCGGTCAAACAGGACGGAAGACCTACTCGTTGCTTTGCAACGAGCTTTGCTCTAGTTCTTATTATTATTTTTCTTCCTGGGAAAATTTTGTCCGCGAGTGATCTTGTAAACTACACATCTGACTTAGGTGAAACCTTTTTAGGGTAAGTAGGCATGTTATGTAGATTTGCGGAATCAAGGTCATTTTGCACGCACGTGCTTGCAAGAGCGTGCACGTGCAAAACTTAAAATGACCAATATAAAGTGGATATAACCGTAACTTTTCTATTTTGTGACGAAATGTTTTGAAACTTATAATGTAAGGATATATTAGTAGTAAGCACAAGATGACATGGTCAAAATAGCAAGATCGCACGCGCATGCAAGTGCGCTTCGCTCTGATTGGCTGAAACTAAAGTCTCAATATCTTTTTTGTTTTTTGATAAAATCATTTGAAATTTTGAACATAGTCATATATTAGGGAGATCTACAGCCTGTATCATAAGATTTATCATGAAAGCATGTGCATGCACATGAGCTTGCAAGAGCTCGCACGTGCAACGCGAGAAATGTCCAATATAATTGATACAGACGTAACTATTTAAATTATTGATGAAATGCTTTGAAGCTCATATTATAAGTATATATTAGAAGCATAGACAAAATGACATGGTCAAAAAAAGTAAGATCTCACGCGCATGCACGTGCGCTTCGCTCTGATTGGCTGAAACTAAAGTCTCAATAGCTTTCTTGTTTCTTGTCATAATCCTTTGAAATTTTGAACATAGACCTACATTATGAAGATCTACAGCATGATGTATAAGAATTTTCATGAAAGCATGCGCATGCCCGTGTGCTGCAATCTGATTGGCTGAAACTTTAAATGGCTATATCTCCTTTGTTTTTTTGACGAAATGCTTTGGAATTTAAAACATAGTCATGCATTAGGATATCCTACAATATTATATAGAAAAAAAATCATGAAATCACGCGCATGCACGTGCGCTGCAATCTGATTGGCTTAAACTTAAAATGGCTAAAACTCCCTTGTTTTTCAACCAAACAGGATGAGATTTAGAACATAGATAGATATAAGGGAAATCCTACAAGAAGGTATGGTCATCATGCACGTGCACGCACGTGCGTGCATTTGGAACGAGTGAAATAAAAATACATTTGAAAGAGTGATTTTTCATACTTTTGGACCGAATGTTTTAATATATTGTATATTTAAATATGTAGATAGTGTAGACAAGATGATATGGTTATAAGTTATAATATAACGCACATGCATTAACATGTGCACGGGTGCAATGCTAAAATTTGAATATAATTGGTATCCTTCTGAGAAAACGTTGTTAAAGTCAAAAATGCACAGAGTTTGTCTTATTTAATTAAGCTTACAGGGAATATGGCACAAAAAAGGAGTTGGGGGGCGTTTGGGGAACATCTGTAACGGTTCCCGTTACAATTAGCACTAGTTATATAATAAAACAGTAATTGTTGTTTTTTGAGGTCAATACGATGATTTAGCCACCTTCGAAGTACAATATTCACTTCGCCCCTCGGGCTCAGTAAATATTATACTCCTCAGGTGTCTAAATCATCGTATTGACCAAAAAAAAACAGCAATAATTGTATATTATACACCACTTTTATATAGCGCCTTGCATGTTGTATTTCTTAGCCTAATACTAATTGGATAGTCAGTAAACTTCAGAAGACATGGATGAGGAATTACCTTGTGGATTTCAATGAGCTCAAATCCTTCATCTGTTTCTTTAGTCTACAAAGATTTTTATTATACTATTAAATGAGTGTATTGTTTACAGCATAGGATATAAACATTTTTTGAATAATCAGCATTCGTAAAAGAAAATGTTTTGCTTACAATGCCCTTTTCACACGGATAGTTAATTTGCAATAAATTAATGTAATCAAATTCAAGGTAGATATGCTGGGTCTTTTTTTTTTAAAAAAAAAAAGGCAAAACTACAGATATGTTACCTCTATTTCTATTATCTCAGCTTCGTCGTCGGATTTCGTCTGTAAACAGAAAAGAACAGTACTCTAAAGAACGTAACATGCGAGATAACTCTCAAACATCCCTAAAATATATTTTATGAATTAAAATAGGGCATGTAAGTGTTCATTAATGCTAAAATGTATTTAAGAAATGCAAGATTTTATTTAAATATTGCATGTAAGTGAGGCTAACATCGAAGGTCATCATCAGAAGATTGTCAAACTAGGCGCAGACGAGGGAGCTATGGTTTAGAGGGTGAAAAATCAACGTTACCCACAAACGCATGCAATAGCGATATTTATTACTTTATATTGAATGTTTCAACAATATACATAACAGTGAACCTTTCATACATAAATTCTGCAAAGTCCATATTATTTTTTGAATGAATCCGTCTTCAAGCAATTTTGAATGTTGCACATTAGATCCCCTGAAGGTTGTGGTTCCATTAGTCAAAGGGTAGTATGTGATTCTAACAAATGTTCTCGACAAATACTATTCAACTAATGCACATGAATATATTAGATAAAATTATAACTTTTAAAAAGTTTGTCCAGCAGTTTTTAAATACTTTTATTTTAAATATTGTAATTTATATCTAACGTGCATTGATTGTTAAGAGATGAAAAACTGAATCAGATACAATTTACAACAAACGATCCAGAAACTGCTTACGGCAACATGTGTGTCGCAAATCTTTACCATAGCAAGTAGAAATTAAAATCAATGCTTTGTACGGTGTTAGTGTTTTTATGTTGAGCGATCGAGGACAACTTAACATTATCGACACCATTAAAAGATATATAACCACGATAGCTTTTAAACTTAGTTTTGGTTTTAAATATTAAAAAGTGCATGTCATATGAACCAATCAAGTACAAATTTATATTTCTCTCATAATAGGTCTCAAAACGTGACATTTGCACCAATGCCTTATCTACTAATTGTTTTCACTTTCCAATCGATTACTGACGATTGCAAACGCACATCTGTTTGCGAAAATCTATAATAACTGTATTCTTCGGCATAACGTTGCTGTATTATTAATACAGCTATTATGCAAAGCAAATGTCACGATATCGCAATGGCAATACTGAATTACATGTAAATAAATATTACAGAAATTCATCAAAATATCAAACAGGAGTATATATTGTAAGGAAAATTCAGGGGAAAATATTCATACTGGTGCTAGAAATGTGAAAGTGAAATTCATGGCATAATTTCATATAACCCCCTTTCTTGTTTGAAAAAGGCTTGAAGATTGAATAGCTACCAATGAATGGAATGTCAAAAAAAAATCCCCTTAGGCCTTAAATTGACCAAAATAAGTGACGAACGTGAGTGTTTTTTTTCAAGTTGAATGAACGATTAGACACATACATAAATATACATGTAAAGGCCTAAAAAGAATTAACGTGCTAAGGGACGTTACTCTGACACAATATATTTTAGATCATCCATCGATTTTGAGAGATGTAAAGACGAGATGTAAACAAGTCATACATACCTTGTGTAGAGCCATATTCTGGAATATTTTTTCTGGTCTCCCGCATTCCGGGGTCCAATATTTCCTCTCCCGACCCCGACGGGAACTCTTTGTAGTGAGCAGACGATCAGATCAATTTCCTCACGTGACACTCCACTGCATCTTGGAGCGGGGCTCCAGAAGTCGTTGTGTGTGGATACGGTTGACTGTCTCGCACGATTGAATATCTTATCTGATTGTACTTCCGTATTAGATTTCACACTGACTCTTTTTTTCATCAGTTAATTTATTTAAATATCAGATGCTTTCATTGATTTAAGGCATGTATTCTGGTAATTAAACTATAGTGTAAATCCCCTTAGAACGCTTTAAAAGATAAAAGTGTCTGTATAGTACTTGTACAAGGTAGGCTATTATCTTCCGTCATTTTATACATATATCATTCTTCCTGATAAGAAGTTTTTGTATAGAAAGCAGGTGTTTTGTTTACCGTATGGCTGAATACGGAAAAAAGACTATAATTGATAACTTTCAATAAATTGATACGTTTTAAATTACATTTTAGAATGCTTGTAAATAGATGTTTTGGCAATCATTCTTGTTATTTACATATTCTAATAGTAATGCCTATATTTGGTGGGGAAAATGTCACAGTATCTTCTGTATTTTATTAAGCAAATCTTATAAGCTTCTGCTAAATCTTATGTAAGAAGAATATTTAATTTTCATGTAGAGAATTCGAATTAAATGAGATCAGAATTTTATTTTATCCATTTCTCGCCGATGCAAATTGACCTTAACCAGGCTTAGACAGATTAACGACAAAAAAATATATTAACTGTATATTACATGTACATGTACATGTAAGCAATGTACAGTGAAGTGTAACACAGGCTCATAGGAAGCAATTTCAGTTGGGCGGGGGGGGGGGGGGGTCATATTTTATTCAATATCATCTACATTTACCAACAATTCCTTGACTTGGCCAAAAAAAAAAGGGGGGGTGGGGTGCGGGGTCACCAGTCTTTTTATTGAGAGGGCACGAGCATATGGTAGAGAAGTTTATTAAGTAAAATTATTCACCCACCCCCGTTCCTACTGCCATGTAACTTTACGTTTATTAAGTGGAAACGAGGATAAAATGCGTTTTATTGGAGCCAAGAACAGAAACTGTTTGCCTGATGCCATAAAGCCAAATGCAAACACTTTTTTCCATAGGAATTTTTTACCGGTTCGGTACATCCCAAGATTCATCATCCATATCTTGTTTATACTTCATCTAACGAGTCAAAAAATGGTCGGTGGGGTGGAGCTATACTTTTGTTAAAACAGTCAGCGGTATATATCGAGCAGTATTTGATATTGTTTTTGGTGAAGTCAGCGGCATTTGTTCAAGAGAAGGTTCTGGTGATGTCGGCAGCATTAAACGGCATTTGTCTAGTAAGAGAGAGTTTCTGATAAAGTCGGCGACATCGAGCGGCATTTGCTCAACACAGAGCTTTTGGTAGAGTTAGCGGCATTTGTCCAACACAGAGCTTCTGGTAAAGTCGGCGGCATTAATTGAACGTCATTTGTTCAAGATCGTGACTTTTTTCATAAAAATAATGAGCACTTCAGAACTCATATCTATTACCTCTCCCTGCCGAAGAGTGCAAATACACAAAAACGTGTTACAATCTTATTTTCGTGTAATTTTTGTTATGATACTTTTATGAAAAGTTTTTCTATTTTATTTTTAATTTATTTTTCACCTTAAGGTCATTGGCAAGGCAGGGTTTCCGGAGAAAAAAGGTTTATTACATAGGTTTTTCCATTTATAAAAACAGTCATTGAGAGTGATCTCCCGTTTGGAATTCTCTAGGCGGTGGAAATAAATAAAGCGTTTACAGAGGTAAACAAAAGCACATGTGTTTTTAAACGGATAGAATCAACAATAATGCAAGAAAGAGAAGCAGTGATAGCTTTGTATACATTGTGTAAACTAAAAAAGCAGTCAACAGGTCGTCATTTACCATAGTTCTGCTGGGAAGGGCAAAGATGCGACATGTGCTGAAAGTGGCGAAAGCTAGGCTGGTAACCGAATAAGAACAGTTCTATAGGTCATGTGAAGGAGGCACCGTTTAGTAACTACGAATAAAAGTTATAATAAATCCATACAAATATATTTATGACAATTTGTTTCCAATAACGTAAATTACATGATAGAAACTCTTGATCATTGTGAATAATATTTAGATGCTAAGGGAAGTAACTCAAATTAGCTAACAGTACTGGAATTTCTGTGTCTTGTTTCTATATTTTGCATTTTCAGCCAAAATATAAACATGTCATCGGATATAAGGATACAACAATGTATTTTATTCAAAGCGTCTTTGAAATAAATGGGTTTTAGAGAAATCGTATGATTAGAAATTATGCAGGTCCTTTTTATCGACATTTTACATAGGAAATGCATTGACTTTGATTGAGAATTGTGAAAGCATTGATTCGACATAATCTAAAAAGGAAGGCTGGCTTGGTGGGTTAAATGAACTAGAATTAAACATGTTTGGTACCATTAAACATGTTCAAAAATTCTTGAAAATTTCTATACTAAAGCCAGAAACATTGCCAATGTCCTAAGAAGATGTAAAGCAAGCCTTAAGACTAAACCATGTAAACGAGTGTATACATGTAATGTTGCCTTAAGACCAAGGATACCAGAATCTGAAATAGCTACCAATAGGAATACTTACAGTGTATAATTGACTGAGCTAGGTTTACTTTTCTATGTATGAATGATACTGTATAGATATTTGTTTTCTTCAAAGACAATCAATACTTGCTTTTAAAGTATATATTTTCGAATTCCTCTCTCTTTTGATTATATTTTCGTTACATATAGACAAATGCCGCTTAATCTACCAGAGGCTCTGTGTTGGACAAATGCTGCTCAATGCATCTGCCTTAATCAGAAGCTAAATGTGTTAAACAAAGTCGCTCAATGCCGCTGACATTATCTGAAACTCTTCCTTCGACAAATACCGCTCAATTCCGATGATTCATCAAACAAACTTTATCAAGTACAAATGCCGCTCAAGACCGAATCACTAGAGGCACTCTCTTTGAGAAATGCCGCGTAACCTCGCTGACTTTACCAGAAGCACTATCATGGACAAATAACGTTCAATGGCTCTGACTTTAAAAGAAGAATATCTTGGAAAAATGCCACTCAATATAGCTGACTTTACAAGTAGCTCTCTCATAGACAAATGCCGCTTAATGTTGCTGACATTTCTCCCTTGGGCAAGTGCCCCTCAAGGCCGCTGACTTAACCAGAAGCACTAACTAGGAAAAATGCTGCTCAGTGCCGCTTAAGTTATAAGAAGCAGCTCTGCCGTGGACAAATACCGCTGGCTTTACCAGAAGGGTTGTGTTGTATTGACTTTTTTTAAAATATTATTATTCAAAATGTCTTACCAAAATTTTTCTAGAAGTACGTACTGTCATGCATTTCTAGAGGGACGTACTGTCATGCATTTCTTAACTCCCATAGTTGGCTAGAAATTGAAGTAGATTTTCCTGACTTCTTTTATGAAGAATTGTATATTGTTTAACGTCTCTCTCGAGAATTTTTCACTCATATGGAGACGCTACCACTTGCCGGTGGACAGCTGCAATTTTGTCCTATATTTGGCACTTAGGACCATTAAGCAGGGAGTGATCTTTTTTGTGACAGCACCTACTGCGACACAGGACATCGGTTTTATACGGTCTCATCCGATGGACTGGTCTCCACGTCCCACAGTGGGACTCGAATCCGCGACATAAGGATCAACTCCTTGGCGACTCGAGAGCAGACGCTGTAACCACTGCGCCACGTACATTGTAGGCGACTCTTTAATGAAGGAATAGTCGCCTCCACATTTACGTGAAAGAATAATATCATTAAATACTTATCTTATGAGTATTTTTATGCATTTTAATAATTATTTTCTCGAATAATACGTTATACGACAGCGCTCGCTACTCTCTGAATAAAAAAATGGTTATTCTGTATGAAGTTTTTGTCATTGACAAATTGCAGCTTAACTAATAATGCGAAGTGCGTATGTACATTAAACATGAAATTAAGAGTCTTCAAACTGATAAGGCGCCTGCATGCCTTACGTATAAACAATTTCTAAAATGAGGTAAATTAGTGACAAGTTGATGAAACAAGAATATCAACAGTCTCGTTTACAGTCATCATTTCGTAAGTTCTATGGTTGATACAATGACCTTATCAGCAAATACAAATTTATCATTGAGTCAAGTGCTACTTCACTTTTTTCATACTAATTGTTAATCCATTATTTATACACTGAATTGACGACGGAATTTTCAGTTATTTCCCGGCACCTGATCCCACCTCTGATGTTTTGGAGCTCGAGGTCCGTGTTTGCTCTGCTCCCATTTAGTATTGTTTTAGGGACCATGCAAAATTTATCACAATGATGGGACCAGCGCAAAATAAATTTCTCATTCAAAAAAATCACATGTCCCATGGCTTTTGTATTTAAAAAAAAACTGCCCCATGCCTTTAGATTTAAAAAAAGTACTGCCCCATGTGTACGTCTTGATGTAATGTGAGATTAAAAAAAAATCTTTTAAAAAAAGTAGATGCTAGACATAAAATTTTCATTTTGTGACCCTTTCTTCTTTTCGTTTAATAAAAAATAATCTTAGGATAGTAATTAAAAAGCGAATAAAAGCACTAGGCTTGTTGTATTTGATACACATCAATATATCTAGGATTGTTTGAAACAGATCGATAGAATCGGATTCTCCGGAAATACCGGTGTATCCTGTTTTAAGCAACAAGAAAATGACACCTTTTAATGTAGGAGTCTGTATATATGCTCCCTTTTCATATAAAATTGATATTCAAGTGCTTTAAACATTTTAATAGGTCAACGCGACCTTCAAAGATTATATATATATATATATATATATATATATATATATATATATATATATATATATATATATATATATATATATATATATATATATATATAGGGTAAGCTTTAAGGGCTCTATTCAAAATGTACCGTGTCTAAACACGTTCGTACTTATGTATCTTAGATGGATTTCTAACATTTAATGTCATTAAAATGATGTGTTCGTATGTTTTTGTAAGATGGTCAATAGAGATCGCCTTTTTTTGAATAAGTTAATGGTATTGTGATGTCATTTTGCGTTGCGTTTTTATCAAGTTTAGACACGGTACATTTTGAATAGAGCCCTTAAAGCTTACCCTAACTTTATCAGTCTACAAAATGTAAGATGGATTGATTGTGTATTGTTTAAAGTCCCAATAGCGAATTTTTCACACAAGAGACACCACCGCTTGCCGGTAAAGAGAGATATACTCGGCACTCAAGGACATTGAGCAACGAGAGATCTTTTTTGCCAGCACTTACTGCGACACGGGACCTCGGTTTATACGGCCTCATCTGAAGGACCAGTCTCCACGTCCATCCCACAATGGGATTCGAACCCGCGACACAAAATGTAAAAAAAACAAGAGGCCCAGGGTCCACATCGCTCACCTGAGCAATTGGCTAGAAAAAGGCACATATCAGATCAGAACTGAAAGTTAACTGAGGGCGGGGAGGGGGGGGGGGGGGCTTGAATTTTAACACCCCAGGGGGTCATGATTTGAACAAACTAGAATCTACAATACCTGAGGATGATTCCCTATAAATATCACTAAGCATGGATTTGAAGTACTTAAAAAGAAGATTTTAAAAGGTTTTCCTATATATTCCTATCTAAAACTTTTATCGGCCATTTGGCCCCACCCTACCCCCGGGGGTCATGATTTGAAGAAACTTGAATCTACACTACCTGAAGATGATTCCAGATGAGTTTCATCTTTCCTGTCTCAATGGTTTTTGAGAAGATTTTTACTATATATTCCTATGTAAAACTTTGATCGGCCATTTTGGCCCCACCCTACTCCCGGGGGGTCATGATTTGAATAAACTTGAATCTACACTACCTGAAGATGATTCCACATGAGTTTCATCTTTCCTGGCCCAGTGGTTCTTGAGAAGAAGATTTTTTTAAAAAGCCATTAATTTTTCTCTAATTCATAATTATCTCCCCTTGGAAAAATGCGTGGCCCTTCATTTGAAGAAACTTGAATCCCCTTTACCCAAGGATACTTTGTAGCAAGTTTGGTTGAAATTGGCCCAGTGGTTCTTGAGAAGAAGATGAAAATGTGAAAAGTTTACAACAACGACGACTACAACGACAACGACAGACAACGGACAAATTTTGATCAGAAAAGCTCACTTGAGCCTTTGGCTCAGGTGAGCTAAAAACTAAACAAAATTAAAATGTAAGAAATTACATTAAAGTATTGGATTGTTTATTTATAGATAAAAAGCAGTGTAAAGAGTCAATCCACTACTATTTTATTTTTAATAAATAGAATGTTGTATAATGGATTATCCTCCAATGTGTCATGTGCAAAAAAGAAAGCTATGAACTTTATACCTTGTTTAACCAAATCAAACAGGATATATAATGACTACGGTCATTCAATAAGTAATGCAATATACAGTATATCATAATAAATGTTGAGGCATTTGGTTTTATTTTTTTCACAGTTGAAAAAGTTAATATTAAAGAGCTTTGATAACTTTGCTTGATAAATAACAAAACAAAGGTGCATTCTTCATAACCAAAAAATAAGATTAAAAATAGATAATGTAGAATCAAAGAAGAAATTGCCATTTTACTATGATAAAGAGATGCAAGCATGATTTATTTGTTTTCGTGTATTTAAAGAGGTCTATTAAACCACAAATGAAAGACTAGCAATGGTAACTTAAAAGTTCGAATTGCACAAAGGAAAGTTAAACAGATTTACTGCAAAGGGAGTCCAAATATAGATGACCAAAGTATTGTTCCTGTGTCTGACAAGACAGCTGCATGTATTTGAACTTTTTCCATCACCCATATAAGCTAGATCTCACCCATTGTGAGATCTTTTTATTCCCAAAACACATAAAACAATCAAAAGAAGATTTTACAATCTCAGATACATGTTCATGAATGTTATGGTTTATGATGTTCATCAGTGTCTTTTGGACATTCCTGAAGAGTATGCTTAGGTTTTCTGTTCATGGATACATAGACCGAAGACGTGTCAATTAAGGGTAACAGTGAATGACTTGAAGCTATTAAAAAGAATCAAGAATATGTATAACGTACTTTTCTTATTTCTAGATGACATTTTGCATTATTTATTAAGCGACCCTCGAACCTTACAACTTAAGAGATGTAATGAATAATGCAACTTGTACTTGTGAATAATTACAGAATAAACAAATGGTAACAAATGATGTTGGGATATTCCGTCAAGAACGTGGTCATCCTAAGAAATAAACAAGTAGTATCACAGTCACGGTCAGGACTATCCCTGTAATTGTCAGAGCTATGGCGCAGATCAGTTTCCGGTTTCTTCTTTTCATCTTCTTTTTTACGTTTGCTGCACATTTAGCAAAGGAACTGGACTGAAAAAGACAATTTTTTTTTATCAATTTGTACATCATGATTTTAAACAGTCATTTTACATTTTCCCATCAAGGTGTTTTATGCATTAGAGGATATATGTATGGCACGCCAAATTCACAAAAATGAGATAATCATAGTTTCACAATCGATAAACTAGGTTTATCGGTTGTAAACTATAGTTTACAAACCGTAAACTATAGTTAACAACGTTAATCTATATTTCACATCTGTAAACCATAGTTAACGCGATAATCTATGTTTCACAACCGTAAACTATACTTAACACCGAAAACAATCATTTGCGATTGCAAAACATAGATTATCTGATAAATACAGTTTCACGATTTGTAAACTATAGTTTACAAACCGTTAACTATAGTTAACGATCTGATAAATATAGTTTCACAATTTGTGAAACTATGATTAACAACTCTTAACTATAGTTTACGATTGTAAACTATAGTTTACAAACGTGAATCTATGTTTATCAACAAAATCTATTGTTAACGCTTTATTACAGACAGATAAACTTAAATTAACATTCGTAAACTATAGTTAACAACCGTTAAATATAGTTTTATAGATGAAAACTATACTTGACGAATCTTTAACTATAGTTTACGGTTTGTAAACTATAGTTTACAGTCGATAAACCTAGTTTATCAATTGTGAAACTATGATTATCTCATTTTTGTGAATTTGGCGTGCCATATATATGCAGCAAAAAACTTGTCTGATATAATAAGCACTTTTGAAACTACAGGTACTGTGAGCAATGAGCTGACTAAATGATACCTACGCCTCCCATATGGTTATAGTGGCAAAGTCCATGTTTTGCTCTTGTAGACCCGAAATGTATCAGATCAAAAAGTAATATATGTATAGGAGGTGCACAATGGCAATATGTAATAAGGAATCTTTGAAAGTATCATTAAATTTTATTCAGTGGTATACAAAGAGTTGTTCAATGGTAAAAGAGGTGTTGCTGATAAGAGATGGGTACCCCAAAGCATAAGAGATGGGTGGACGGACATACAGACAGACGGACGGACATCCTGATCACTATATACCCTCCCACTTTTTAAAATGGGGTACAATAAAGAATAAATGATAACAGTAGAAGCACCAACAAATTCCTGATTCATCATTCAGACTTACCAAATCCTCCAAATGACCAGACCTCGACTCCAGTTCCTCTAATTTTTCTCCTCTTTTTGCCACCTCTTCTACGTTATTTCTCATGATGTTTGTAACTTCTCGCACCTGACCACGCAGATCCTCCATGTTTGTCTTTTTCGTCTGATTTTGCTGCTGCTTTTGCTGTCCTTCTTGAAGTTGTGGCGGGCTTGGTGCAGGGGTTTGACTTGTTATGGAGGGCGCACTGGATTCCATGGTGTAAAACACAGTTGTGCTGTTACCCTGAATAAAAATAAACGATCAAAGAGAGATTCAACACATTGATTCAACACATGTAGTACAAACATGAAAGACTAAATAAATGAGATATATAAGATGTCCGATATCTTTTTATTCTTCTATCGTAGAAATCAGAAAAAAAAATTCTCAGAAATATCAAAAGTGATTTCAGTAGAAATATATTATATCCTAAATTCTTGAAATTAAAGGTGTTATACTTTCGCTCAAAATTATATAAATACTGTTTTATCATTCAAATAAAATATCATTTAAAAATTCATTTTTTCGACGACCATACTTTTTTTTATTGTAAAATCTGGAAACTATCCGTGTGACAGTTTATGGGGAAGATCACTTTTTGGAAGCAATCTGTAGACTTTTTGTGTGCATATTGTGATACAAAAGACACTGCTTTTATCAAAATGCACAAATGTTACATCTAGGGACATATGAAAGAAAATTTGTATGGAATAAATAGATGCTTTGATTGATTAATATTTCATGTGTTGTTAAGGTCATATTTTGAAAACACCACGGTAAAGTTAAATTTGTATCATCTGTCCTTGAGATAAAGAGAAAAATGATGAATTTGGCACCATTGGTGAATTGAAAGAAGCATTGATGAAAGGGAAAAATTTTTCAAGTATGATATTTTAACATAAAAATATATTCTTATTCTTATCCATGAGAAAAAACAGTGCATACTTCATTGGCTCTGTATTCTTTTGAGTTTCCTGTGTTATTGTGGTGATCAGTAAATCTTTCTTTGAGGAAAACTTTGGCCCTTTTTGCTTTCTTTTTTACAAACGCAATTTTTGACTCAGACTCTTCTACTGATGATGTTAAAGGTTTTTTCTTCTTCCGTTTATTTTCAGGCTTAGGACCAGCATCAGTTTCTTTCTAAAGATCCACGTGAAAGTAAATATATATAATTAATTGTATAATTAATTGTATCCATTTGATAGACTTGTAAAATGATATTAACCTCTTATAAGTACTTTACTTGTGAAGGATTTTTTATCAAAAATATTTAACGCTAAAAACGTCAAATTGCTTTGCAAAAACATTAAAAACATAAAAAATTAAGGCATGTCTATTGCTTGATTTTGATTGGATTGGATAATACAGCTTTTGACCAATATTTAAATTTCAAGGCACGCTATGTTTTTGAAGGCTAGAAAAACGTATTACAACTATAATGTACATGCCCATAAAAGTTACCACTTTTTAATAAACACAATGCTAGTAATTACTCATTTTCAAAAAATATATTTCACGGAAATACTTTTTCAACTACCCTGCCTGTCACTATCTCTTGATTTCTATTCATTTTTTCAAAACACGTTGTTTGATCTGTCAATTTTAACTTAATAAATAACTTACTATTAATTCTGCCTTTTCGGTTACTGGTAATGCTGACGACTTTGTAGAGCCAATACCATCTGATGATGGCCTCAGTTCCTCTTTCATAGGAGTTGTCTTTTCCTTACCAATGTCCTCCAGTGATCGACTCTTTGTCACTTTGGACGGACCATAAATGTTAATATCATCTAGGAGTTTCTCAGTTTTTTCTGCCTTTTTGATATTTTCTTCCATTGATGTTTTGGCCTCTTGAACTTGCAGACGAACCTCGTCTGAGACATGTCTTTGTTTTCTCCTACGACCAGCTTCTTCTGAGGGTGTTTGGCTCTGGATCTGCTCTGCATTGCTGATAATATTAAGTTTCTCAGTATCCGAGAATGCCACACCAGAACGATTTCTCCGTGATTTCTGAAATAATTTTTAGTCATAATTTATGTTTATATCATGTAAATACTAGTATTAAACAAAGAAGAATGTAAATGTAAAAAGAATACATATATTTCAAAATGTAAATCGTGATAGACAATATGTGAATGATCCTTTTTACCATTAAATCTTTTATTTGTACATACCATAGCATTGTGCCTTTGCAGTGGCTGAAAAATAGAAAATTAAAGTAGCTTATTAGTCCTTTTTGTATGATTAAAGGTATTTTAATGATTCATTGCTATAAGAAAATAACTAAATTGCCATGGGAACCGGTGGAACTAAGATAGTAACCCATTGCCCCCAGTAATATTGCCGATATATAAAATTCTATATTAACGTTTGCTCCTTTCATTAAGATTGGATAGGATGTAAAATTTCATTGCAAAAGCTCAAAGGCTTCTCGAGATATCATAAGGAAACGAAAGCGTTACGCACAGACAGAACTAAAAGACGGATGGACAGACAGACTGAAATTGATATCCCCCACTTTCAGCCGGGGACAAAAATATCAATGAAAATTCTTGTATAATTCAAAGTAAAATCTACAACAGTAAAAACTTGTTTTGGAATAAGTGTACAACAGTATAAATAGACATTAAAATGTAGCACACAGTTTCAGGTTTTACGGAAGTACTTGAATTCTTCAACTTATAAATGTGTGTGTATAATCTTAATGCACATTTAAAAAATCATTTTTTATCAGATATTCAATCATGTCAAAAGTGTGGATTTCATAATGAACATTATTTTATCAACTGCCCATCGTATAATGTTTTTGGTAAAAAAATTAAATGATATTGATGTTGTTTTTGAACTTGACGCTCTACTAAGAGGAAAATCTCAATACTCTTATCAAACAAATTGTCAAATATTTTCATATGTACAAGAATTTATTAAATCTTCTAAAAAAGACTTAATTAGGGACACTTTTATATTAAATATTCTATTAAATGCATAATTTTTTTTCTGTATTATTTTTAAGCTTATGTAAATAATATTTTTCATTTTTTTTTAGATATAATATTGATAAATAATACTTGATTGTGAATCTTTATTTTTCATTATAATTTTATTGATTATCATGTTCATTTTTTTCCTAAATTTGTATCTTCCAATTATACAAGGAGAGGGTCTCTCCTGTTGCCCTCTCCTGATTGAATTATACTCAATAAAATATGTTTAAAGTAAAGTATAAATGTGTGTGTATAGCCTAGAGGTGTATAATGAACTGTTTTTCTTTTGTGTTTGGTGTCTCTGGTTAACCCCCACCCCTATTCCAGATTTTGATGAATACTACATGTACATATTTGTTTTGTACTTGTTTTTTTTTGCTTAAATACTCATTATTTTTCCACTGCATTTTTATCAATTCCTTATCTCCAAACTCTCTCCTCCCTCTCACCCCTTAATCCTCCTCTCTCGTCTCCCCACTTTCTGTCTTTCTTCTCCCCACTCTCTCTTCTCTCTCCTCCGTCTCCCCTCTCTCCCTCCCCCACATTCTCTCATCTCCTCTCCCCACGCTCTCTCTCCTCTCTCCCAACTATATTTAGAGGAGTATGAGAGAATTATTTTCTCCCCACACCAACCAGAAGTATCTCCCCACTCCCAGCAACAGTAGAGATTGGAGGAGGCGTAGATATGGGGCAGTTTTCCCATAATCTATGACTCCTCCTCCCAGCACTTTTTCTCTCACATCACTCTTTCGCTCTTTCTTACCATTTCTTTCTGTTTTGTTATGTTCCCAGCACATTTTCTCTCACATTACTCTTTTTCTTCTTTCTTCTTCTTCTTCTCTCTTTTTTTGTCCGGAGGACCGGGCTGCTCTCCGATGTACAAAACCTTTTTAGTGTTGGTGTATGTAGATTTGCGGTCAAGGTCATTTTGCGCGCACGTGCTTGAAGAGCGTGCACGTGCAACACGTGAAATGACCAATATAATGTTATTAGTAACTTTTCTTTTTTTGATAAATTTTTTACGAGATACATAATATATTTACTTTCAAAAAGTGAATCTTTAAAAATATACATGTTTTTCATATTTAATATATGAAGTTGCTAATCATTTTTTATCAAAAAACGCATGTGCGCGTGCTGCAATCTGATTGGCTGAAACTTTAAATGGCTATATATCCTTTACTTTTTGACATAAAAACTTTGAAATTTAAAATATGGTGTTTTATATTCCTAAAATTGAAAATTAAATACATTTTGAAATAGCTGCTGCATGTGTGTTGCAACTTCAATTTATATTTTATGCAGCCAACATTTACTAGATCATGGAAATGAAGTTTAAAATGGTATCGTTTTTGTTTTAAAAATACACTTGATATTTATCCTTTTGGACGGACTAATATATAGTATATTAAAATATATAGATAGTGTAGACAAGATGATATGGTCATCACATCATTCACATGCGCTGGGGTGCAATGCAAAAATTTGACACATTGGTATCCTTTTGGGAAAACGGTTTAATGTCAAAAATGCACAGAGTTTGCATTGTTCACTTTATATATTTCCCGGGCGACAATTGATGGTTACCTCAATGTTTTCTTGATCTTTTTTGTTTTGATTTGCATTTCTCCTTTACAACACTTAACCTGCTAGATTGGTAGAAAACTTTATATACGGTAACATTATTAAAAGATAATAGTGTTTTTAAGTCTGACAATACTATTATCGCCAAAATTTACGGTACTGTTTAGTTAGATCAAAACTAAACCACAAACAATAATTTTTAATTATGACTCTGCATATTATTGAAAAAATTAATTTTCCAAAGAAACATATTTGTTTATTTATAATCACGAAATAAACCACAGAAATTTGCAACGCATACAAAACGTTTACCCTAAGAATAGAGCAATTGAACCACTAAAAGTGCCATGGGCGCTTCCCATTCCTATTCATACATTGTATGTATATATCAGATTTTCAGTTTAAAATTGATTTGCAACTTTCATTGGTAATTAAAAAGACTCTGTACATGATAAAAGCCTACATGATTATTTACGTATAGGTTGCAAATTTTATTTTACTGTAATTTAATCATATGATATGTGAATATAAAACTGAATTAAAACACTCATATCGATAGTGAACATGTCACTAAATGATTCTAATTCCTTATGTCTTTGGCGTGCATGTTTCTGGTCATAAAGGATTTTGTTATATGTATTACTAGTATTTGGTTTATTCTACTGATGATTTGGTGTTCACTAAATCACCTCCGGTGAAACACTGCCGCCTCTACCTGATATTTCTGAATGGGGTGTCAATTGGTTGGTTGTTGGATCAATCAATTATAGAGGTTTTTAAATTCCAAGTCATTCTTTTAAGTACCGAAGTTATGGAGAACGCGAGGGTCAACATTTAAAAAAAAATGTTTTACGGTAGATTCAGAAGAGAAAAATAAAGTGTGTGTGTTTTATGTGCATGTAGTTGCTGTGGGAAGGGGGTGGAGGGGGGTCATTCAGTCGACATAATATGTCATGAAAATAAGACTGCATTTTATTATATTCTAAAATTATGAATTATCCAAAAAGCATATAGGACAGATGATACAATTAAAAAAAATCACCTTGCAATCCGAGGCAGATGCAAATTCAAATAACATCCATTACCCCCTATAAATATTAGATATAGAAAGATACACATGTAATAGGTCATATTTCAAGGTGATTTTTTTGACCGGGAACGTGTGGATGAAGCATAATAACAGATAAAAAAAATATAGAAAATTATATAACAATTATAATTATTTAAAAAAATCATAGGAGTGGGGTGCATCGTAAAAGGAGGGTCCTGTCCACAAACACCCGCGGTATACATTTGTAAAGGCCTAGAGATGCCAATTACAACTACCTCGCCTTTGTTTTCCTGGTTTCGACACAGGCTGGACCCCCCCCCCCTCCTTTCCATTTTTTTTCTTAACACTGTTTACATCTGGGGTCGACAAACCTTTTTCCTATTTTGGTAATCTAATAAGCATTTATTAACTTATCAAATAAATAATCACGCGAAGTTTAAGAGAGGTGAGGCGGATAACAAGAAAAGAGTTGCAAGCCAATTTCTCTCTTTTTATGTAAGAGTCGAAAATGATATATTTAAAAACGGCTTATATATAGACAAAAATGTTGCATTATCGATATCAAGTAAAGTTTATTAGACTACCAAAATAGGAAAAGGGTGTGCCGACCCCATATTTAAAAAAAAAAATGAAAAGGGAGGGGGTCCAGCCCCCAAGTGCCTGTGGTTTGGATATAAAATGCACTTGTCCTTCTTTGTTTAATGCGAGACAAAGCTTCTGAGACCAGCCCTGGCTTTATTATGTAACCGTTTTTCTTAAAATCTGGCACCTCATTTTTTTACGGGACGATCTCTCACCCTCTAGAAAAAAAATAAGGAAGCCCTGTCAAGAGAAACAGTTACTTTATTGCATTGTCTTTGAAATATATATGTCACGGGTCTCCCAATCTCAGGGAATAATAATGTAACACAGTTCCTCAATAAAGGTTCATATATTTATTGGATGACAATATTTGCAGGAACGATGATAAATGAAGTAATGAAGTACAAACGAACGTACGAATGAAGGTGACCTGCAATGAAAATGACGCATTCATACAAATTCACTCACACTTATATTTATTTAATTAGAATAGTTTAAAATAAGAATAAGACTTAGTATTAATTTACTTTTACCAGTTACACCATGGTACTAAGGTTCCGTAAGTGAATTTCTTAGACAAACTGCTATAACATCAATAGATTTCTCGCAGGAGAACTTCTATTAGTAACTAAATGTATCGTCAAGATTAAAAAGGAATAGTCCGTGCATAAGTATATATACCAGGACTCACACATGCGTGCATAACTACCACACCCCACACATACTGGTATTACAACTCACACCTAGGATAATAATAGACCACAAGACAATCACGTGACAACCAAACACTCACGTGACACGGAACACCGGACAAACCAGAATACAATACAAACACGATGACAATGAATGACCAGGTATGAATGAATGAATGAAAGGAATTTACTACAGCTATCTTATTTACTACATAAATACCTAGGCTAGCTGTACTAATCTTAAATGAACTAAATATTCTAAATAAAATAAAAACAAGTAATTGTCACCCTGTGACATATATCTATATAACTGATCGAGTCTAATACAATTTTTAGAGACTTATTACAAAGGAAAATGAATGACCTGCACATATGTAACAAGTTGTTTTGTGTATCTAAAACAAGGGTTGGTTTCCTGTTTTATGACAGCACGTCTTTTCTGCCTAGGTTTTCCCGGTCTGATATTTTTGTTGCATGTTTGTAATGTACGATATTTAAACGGAAATGTTTCCGTCGAGACTGCGATGAGAATATTTATTTTAACTTCATAGAGTCAAAAAATAGTGAATAGTAATTTTTATTTTACGTCAAGGCTTTCATTAGAAAACTGTAAAATTGCACTCTAAAATTCCTTTGGAAAGTCAGGATACTTTCCTGTTCTTTGAAAGTAATGTGTATTTGCATGCAAAACTCATATAATTCATATTTATAAAAGATAGTTCCCATTGGCGTTTTATGAAGAGAATTACTTTTACAATCGACGACTGACTTGTACAATTTATACAGAGACAAACTCTAATTACTAAAATGTAAAAGTCAGCTGTCAAATGTAAAAGTCTCTTCATAAAACTACTTTAATATGTCGCTTGATATCTATATTAAGGGTAATTACGCTACAAAGTAATATCATCCAAAGTAAGAAATTCTATTGACATACATTAGACAGTTGAAACTGCATATAACTCGAAAATACAAATTTCACTGTTCATAAACAAGGCGAAAAAACTTACCATTTCGAAGCATGTTTTTGAATTATAATCACTAAGTAACGTTACATTACATTATCGTTATACGAATATTATATAAGGACGTTGTAACATTCATTTGTTGTTTGCATCCTGTATGGTTCATCGAAAAATACACCAAGTTGTCAACTTCCTTTTAATAAACTATTTTAATTAATAATCCTTAAACAAGCAACTTTCAGTGTATGATGGATGCTTGAAGGGGTCAAAATTGCCTTGAATAAAAATAACCAGGAAACATTTCCCATCCTGTGGTAGAGGGGGCTTCCTGTGATTCAGTAATATTTGAGGCTGATAAAAAAAATCTTTTTAATTTATGAAATAGATCTATAACACTGTAAGTAAACATATTTTAATCTGAATTTGTCGACTTTGAACTTATAGATTATCCAACTTTGTAGGATTCAGTTTATAGAATTGTGACCCCTATAGAATAAGAACGCCTTTGCCTGTTAAGAGTGTTTTGTACAACACCGTCATTACATTGTACCCGTTGAATTTTGCCAATGTGATTTTTCAGATATTTGTTCTTTCTTTGAATGAAAAGATAAAAAAAAAGAACAGCAAAAAAAATCCACGAACAACACATCAGTAAAAAGGTCATAATCGAGTGATTAGCAGAAATTCTAGAGGTGAGATCACATACCTAGCACGAGTAAGCATCACTTGTTGATCAACCAAAACGGCTGAACTCATGAGCCCGAAGAACTGATCAGGAAGACTGAATATTCCGTAGTCAAATTTAAGATAAAACAAAGGCCTAACAAATGATATAAAAAACGAAAGCCAAAGACTAAAATTTATCTCGTTTGTCATAATATATTTTAGTTGATCCTAATCGTCTCGAGTCAGTTAAACAGTCTAAATATGAAAGAGGTATACATATACATGTACCATTTTTGTGATTTTTTTCTTTTTTTATAGACATATTAATTGAAATAAAATTTGATAACTGATAGAGGAAGTTTAACTGAATATCGATTAAAAGCACAAAACGAATGCTTTCTTTTTATGCATACTTTTATAAAATTGTGCTTTAAAGTGTTTGGCACAATAAGTGCACGTAAAACTTTAGTTGGTTGTTGGAAAACCTGTTCAAAAGAGGCTACATAGATGTTGTCAATAAGGAACTCCAACATTCCTTTATTATCAGGTAAGGTATCGAAGTAATTTAACACAGTTTGTTGATGACCAAACGCAAGATACAAAAATATCAAATTTTCCTTTTTAATTATAAATTTGATGGAATCAGCTATATATTTTTGTTTGTAAGGATTTTAAATGAAGATAAACATCCAGTATTCATAATTTATACCATTGACGCGTATTTTAGAAGTATTAAATGGCGATTTTTTTTCCAGTTCTTTAACTACCTCTGTTTATTGAAAGAGGATATTTATATGGGTGTCATATTTTCTTATAACTTCTAAATACGATAAATATGAATATTCATATTATCTATCAAACATCTGACAAAATCGTCGACAGATTTCAAATTTAAAAATTAGCTGTCCTTTGTCATTTTCCTTTCAATACTTCGTTTGCAGCGATGAAAAAGGATCATGGTCCATGATCTAGAAAATATATGTTTTTAAATGTTTCCATAGTCTGGAGCTATAAAAGGATCTATTTATCTATCCTCTCGTATTCAAGGAAGGAAACTGTCTCTTAAAGTTATATGCAATCTCATACCTTCATGACTTATCACATAATTCACTTTTTAGAACATAAGTATAATAAATATGTTGGCTTTTTCAATCGCCAAAGCGTTTTGGATTTTAAAAACACTACTTATATGAAACATGTATCCCCTAAAACTTTAAAGGTGCTTACATTTGATTTACTGGTCATATCTTCGGATGAATTTCGACTTCGCCTCAGAACTTCTCCATTTTGATTCTGTTTATTTTCGTTGTCTGCACGTGCTGGAGAACTGCATAAGTCATCCTTACCTCCATATAAACTTGGAAAAGAATATATATCAATCTCGACAGGAGACATCAATGCAGATGCTTTATTTTCCAGGCCTTTAGATGGTTTGGAAGAGGTTTCTTCATTTTTTGGTGAAACATAATAATCAGTTCCTCCTGTGGTCTTCAATGTGGATACACCTTGTTCGTTAATTTGAATTGTCGCTACACTAGAGGAATTACTGTTGTCTATTTTCAAAGGGGTCGATGGTGCAAAAGTTTCGTTACCTTTATTTTCCGATATTTCAAATTCCGTCACCGATTTTCCGGAAAACTTCTTTTGATCATTTGATAAAGTTTCTCCTTGGTGAACTGTTTCCACACACTCTTTACAATTTTCTTCGGTGCTCCTTTCTTTTAGTCGATTATCGTCCGAAATCTGCTTCCTTTTCCTCCTGTAAACCACTTCCTCTGAAGATTGGCTTTGATTCTGGTTCATACAGCTTAACATATCAGTCTGCCCTTCGTCTGTTGAAGGACCAGCAGATCCTGATGTCTAAAATATCATAAGAATAAAATTGCTCAGATTATTGACACATACTATTTATCTGTTTCAAGCATTGAGTTTCGTTACTTATTTTACCTTAACTTAAAAGAATACGTCTCATTCCACAAGAATATTCTTTTAAATCTTCACTGTTATAAATATTGGAACCCCTTTTCAATGATTATGAGAGTTAAAAACAACCTACAAAATGATGATGTGAATTGCCCCTATGAAAGGAAAGTACGAACAAGAGGAAATTGTCTCTGCCATTCACAAGTTCAACCAAAAGCCCGTATATCAAACCATCCAGTTTCCTCATCATTATTGCACAAGATAAAAAAAATGTACCAGTTTGAACTTAATTCTATTAAATCAGTATAATTCTTTCCCTCAAAGTTTTGCTTAGGTTAATTTAAACAAATCAAGACCTTTTCCTTTAAACAAACTGAGACCTTCAACAACAACATTTAAGACATAAAAATGTAATTCAATTAAATGATATAATCGACAAAACTGCATATCTGTGTTTAGTTACTGAGTATGTTTTACTGTACTATCAGGCTGATATTTCTCATAGGAGGCATAAAAGAATCTGCAGGTACAATGATGCAATAAAGAAACAATATTCTACGTTTGCATTTACCTAACCTATAGAATGGAGAGAAAGGTGAAGTTTGTGGTCAGGAAATATATCTATACACACACATACTTCAAAATTGACATCAAAGGATGCCTGAGTTTTTTATTGTCAACATCTGTGTAGTTTTTGGCGATAAGGTTTTTTTTATCAATCTGTTGACAGTCCCATCGGTACCAGTGGATCCTCCTTAGACGAAGACCTAATTTAGTATTCATATATAGAAGGCGTAGCTCATTAAAAAAATTGTATATGAAAAGAAAAGTCTTTTGCTGTGGCCTTCAAATCAACAATTAGATATATCAACAACATCTTATCAATTGTCACGCCTGCTTGATATTTAGATGTTTTACTAGAAAGAGACGTTCATGATTACATATCAAAATCTATCTGATAAACGTAATGCAAAAACTTTTCTATCGTCGTCTTTCCTCGTTCCGTAGTAATATACCCTTATAGTTTATGTCACCCGTTGATTCATTACGCAAATGCATGCTCTACATGAAAAAAGGTAAGCTATTAACAAACAAATTGATGAAACAAGGATGAGAACAATCTCATTTAACAGTCAACATTTAGCAAATTATATTGTCGATAAAATAACTCGTCAACAAATAAAATCTGTAATTAAGAAGAATGCTGACTGGCGTGTTTCATGTTTGGGTCGTTATTTGTACACCAATTTCTCCATGGATATTTTTACTTCAGATCTTATAATGCAAAGGGAGATTGAGTCAATCAAAATGAAAACTGGCATATTCGAAAACTCTAGCTACATGAAGTCAAGTAGTGGAAGCAAAATTGTGTAAACAGATCCGCATTTCAAAGTTGAAGCATGTATCCCTGCATAGACTCAGTAATATGTAATTTTTTTTAAATTGCTGTTCAAAAACTAAACAAAATCCTTTTAACTGAGAATGATAAAAAAAGATTAATCAAACCTTTGTTTTATTTATTGAAAGACTATATGTATGTATAAAATCTACAGCATTACAACCAAGAGACAAATAAACAAACAAATACTTATATAAATTGATAATTTTATCTGTTTTTATGATTTATGACCATATCTGTTTCTGTGGTTTGGACCAATACTTTAATAATCAAATCCAAATCAGTTCTTAATCGAATCAAGAAAGATTAAAGGCAAACATTTCTATATATCCTTTTGTTATAAACACAGTTTTTACTTTTCAGAGGAGTTGAAACTAATTATTTATAAGTTGAAGATGCAGTTGACGGGCCATCATTGTACAGCAAGTTCCTGTTGGGTATGGGAGAGGTGGCTGTTGGTCCTGGAGTTGTTTGTGAGAATACACCACCAAAGTACATAAAGGCGACAATACCCCCTAACAGGAGTATACAAATTACGGTCAGGACGATGATACACACCACCTTCCGATGACGAGAACGATATTTTTTCATTACGTGGGTCGAAGTTATCTTAAAGGACTGCGACTGCAAGCAAAGGAAATATAGACAGATATATTACACAGAACGATAGCAAATCAATTTTCAAAGTGTTCCTTGCTTTTATGAATCAATTTCAAAAGATGTCTAGTAATGTTATGCTTTTTTGATAACATTTGACTTATAAGATTGTCATCTATTTCCTTTGCTTACGCGGAATCAAGAAATAGCTAATAAAATAATTATGAAAAATGACAATTTTATTAATTTATACCTTATATTATGTATATGTATGACATTTGTGTGAATGATTTGTACATTTGTGACAACTTACCGATAGCTCTAACTCTGATGTCCTGACCTCCAAGGTATTCAGTTTTCCTTCTCTTTCAACAACTTTCTCGATGTTATCTTTCATTATTCCTGTAACTTCAGTCACCATCTTTTTAACTTCGTGGATTTTGTCCTCGTGTTTGGATTCAACTTTTTCGACCAGAATGTTAATCTTTTCGTGCTCTTTATCCGTGAAAGCCATAGCCTGTCTGTTTCTCTTTGACCGCTATGATTGAAATTATAAAAACACTATGAAAGACATTGATATTTAATTTCAAGTGTTTCTTAGTTAGAAAACATGTACAAAGCACCCAGCAAGTGATCAGAAAAACTGTAGATATGGATAAATGAACCTTACCATCGCATCTTTTCTCTTCAGCGACTGTAAAAGGGTGAATACAGAATTATTGTTTCTACTACAAACTGATAATAATCTTAGATATAAACTGTCTATGAAAATTTGTTATATGTGTTTATAATCAAAAATTTCGAAAAATTATACATGCAACAAAAACCATAAAGAAAAAATCTTACCATTGTGTATAGCTTTTTTATTGTTTCTACACATACGGCCTGGTTTATTTACAGATTTATTTCATGTAAAGTTTTACAATGTGTTCTTTATTTTCTTCATCCTTTAGTCGTATCCTCAGTTGAACATCCTGTCTCTAACCATAAACAGACCCGACGTTGCACATGATGATAACTGAATACAAAGCCTCCATTTATTAACACAATCTAGTTGGGTTCATATAATATTATCCCCGTTTCTGGAGAAAAAAAAAGTGAAAATGAAATGTGTTGGAAATCAAAAGTCCATTTAACATCACAAAATATTACAAATTATAAAGCTACTTTATTTATTCAAACAAAGTCTATATAGATTTAAACTAGCAGAAGTATTAAAATGATTCAATCAAAAAGATATATAACGTTAAATCAATTTTCAATTTCTCGTAGATCTGCAAACTTTTATGATAATGTCTTCCACCAGATATAGTTAATTAAAGAGAATATAATACAAACATTTGTATGTTTTTAAACTACATGTATCTATCATTCAATCGTTTATTCATAAGTAAACACCCGGTAAAATCTTGAATAACGAACAGACAATACTAGTATTTACATTATTATGTTTATAACAAAAGAGCGACAACTTTCATCAACAATAAATTGTTGATAGACGACAGAAGCGTATCTAAATTGTGTTTTTACAAAGCTTGCAAACGACCATCTCTCTCTAAACAAAGAAAACAGCATTTTATTTCTTTATATTAAGATTTGTAGAAATTTATCATTTAAAGATAGCGAATGTAAGATAAATACAAATGTAGGGAATTATCGATCCCTCTACTAAACTGATGACCAACATTGAAATAGAAAAAAAATATTTGATAAGTTATCATTTACATCCACTAAATATTTTCTCTTTTATTTCTCTTCTAAAAGCGATGGAAATATGCATGTATAATAAACAGTTCAAAGAAAATATATCTTAAGTCATGTTTTTTTTTTTCGTTCCTCAAGATGGAGACTAGATTTGGAATTCACAATGTACAGCTTGTTGTATATACTAAATTTCATTATTGAAAATAACAATGAAGAAATTACACAACTTTTTTTCCAAACATTAAATCAAGGATTTAACATTGTTATTGTCGAATACGTACACCTATTGGTATTATAATTGCAAAACTTTCAATTTCCGAAAACTTACTAATTTCATCAATGAGGAAGACGGTGATGGTCATCGGGTTACTGAGAAAATACATTCATTTCACAAAGTATATTGTCTTCTCTTTTTATGAATGAATTATTTTATAATCCAAATTCGTCAGTTTGAGAAATCGAATTTAATTTTTTGTTACATGTATTGATCTATTGTCTTTTTTGTAATATCGTATTTGTTTATTTTCTACAGATGCTGGTTGAGAAAGAAAAGAAGATGGATAATTCAAAAGAAGACCATTATACAGATAAAGAAATGCTTGTGAAATATTTTCATTTAATAAATCTTTTTTTTTTCTAAGTACAGTTCATGCTCGAAGAAGTGAAATATGCGACGATGTGTATTTGTTTTTTTAGTTCTGTGTAGGAAAATCTCTCATGCATGCTCTGATCCTCCGATGTATATGGTTTCAGTTTTTGGCACTTACACTTTTTTCAACTTTTTTTTCTCTCCATTTTTTCATGTTTTATTTTTATTCAAATATAATTGCAGACTTTGTATATAATTTGTAGAAATGTTTATTTGGTGGGTTAAAATTGGTACCTGTATGTACGGAAAGGTTTTTATGAGAAATCTATTTTTTGAATATGTTTAACTCAAACCTCATCAATTAACAAATTTGCTTAAGTTTCATATGCAGCTCATTAAACTGTTCATATTTCCATTTCTATTTGTTTTCTCTGATAACTCTTTGAAAGTTACTTGAGTTGATTTTTTTTAACATTCCACCGGAGTGTAAATTTCGCAAAGCGTTAAGCAAGGAGCTGAGCAGGCCTGATATGCATGTAAATCCCGTGCGTCTGTGTTTGTTTCTGAACGCTAAGGAGACCTAATGTATATGTAAATCTCGTGCGTCTGTGTTTGTATCTGAACGCTAAGGAGGCCTAATGTGCATGTAAATCTCGTGTGGCTGCCTTTGTGTTTGACGTCATTGCATGGGCGCGGACTATTAAAATTGGCATGGATGGGCAATCTTGTGTAATTTAAATCTATTAGTCTACATTTTTAAAATCTAAAACTACAATTTTGTTTCATAATGAAATGGAAAACATGTAAAGAATCAGTGTCTAGTTAGTAGAGTATGCCAGGGACATCAACGATAGTTGGAAACGTGGGATAATTTATGCATAAAGGGCAAAGGATCTTTAATGTAATGTAATGGGTATGCTTGTATCTTTATTTTTGTAATTTTCTTTTCCTTCTTATAAACATTGGAACAATTTACCTTGGTCAAAAATGTCTTAATTGTATGTTGTAATTAAAAATGCAAAGTAATTGTGAAGAAATAAAATTGTTTTTAATCACAGTGACATAGTACATACACTTGCATCTAGAATATCTATAATGTGGGCTAAACTCAATATTCTGCTATAAAAAATGTAACAATTTGTATAATTTTTATCGAGTAATGCAGATTATCATTATAACAATTATCCCTAATGTAATCAGAAATGTGAGTATAAAAAATGGCACAGGAGGATATTTTATCTTCTTGTTTTTCTCCTGTTCCGATGTTATCACAGTTGTCAAAGCATGCTTCTGAAATAAACAAATTCCAACGTTATTGAATACAGTTTTTTCAGGATGTATAAAATCTGAGAGTATTATTTTACAAATATTTCTTTAATATCCCCATATTTTGATTTACCAGATCATCTACTTGAGTTGAAAGCAATGATACTTTCTCTTCTAGATTTTTAATTTTTGTCAGGGTTTTAGCAGCTATGTCTTTGATTGCCACTTCCTGCAGCTTAGAGTCGCTCTTTAACGTTGCATATTCCTCTACAGAATTTACGGTATCCAAAGGGGAATTCTTAAATAGTAAAAGAAGACAGGAAATATTGACAGCTTTAAATTGAAAGCCGCATTTCTATATTTATATTATTGAAATAAAATGGGTGTTTAATGTTGTTTATTCTATTTCATTGACAAAAATTCTGATGATATTCATTGCATTTCCTATCCATGATTTATGAATTCAGTGAAAACTTCTTACTTGAATCATATATTGCCTAAAGAAATCGGTTTCATCAAGTTTAAGGACATCTTTATTTTCTTTTATTGCTTTTTTAGTCGAACTGTTGTCCACACCGCCCCTTTCTGGTTGCTAAAATATCAAAATATATTCTAAATTACCGTAATCCACATTGCATAATGCGTAAAATATGCATAATCATAACCTGACCTTCTTGCTGATCATAATAAATTTGTCATATTTCTTTCGAATAGCGTTTTTTGAAATTTTCAAACAATCAATACTCTAAAAGTACAGGTGTGCAAGTTAAATAGAATTGACAAAGCAACCTACAACTTGTATTTAATCTTCGTCATACTTAATTTTTTTTATTTACCAAAAAACAACATATATTGTTGTTTTTGCATTGTAAAATAATTCCTAAATTGGAATCAGAGAACATTCATCGTGTATTTATTTCGCTCTATTCAAGAGATCAGGAGAAAGAATAAATTATTTAAAGTAGATATAAATTTGTTTTAAAACATCAAATTAAAAAAATATATCGCATTCATAATCAAACAAAATTGACTCTTACATGTTATGCATACACAATACGTAATAAATTCATATATACTAATAGCAGTAAATAATTTGTATTATATCCTTATGACAAATGCTAAAAAATATTTAATTGATCCAAAGTGACTGATATCTTTTTTTAACAAAAACAATGTAAACTATAGGATTGTAATTCGCTTATACCGGGTTATTTTCTGAATCTTTGTGACTCGTCTTGGAGTCTGTCAAGTCTCTTGTCGATTTCTTTAGCCTCTTTTGATCTTGTCTTTTCTCTATTATGCGACTGATGTTTTCTTGTTCTGCTTCTGAGAGAAAAAATGCACTTCTGTTTCCTTTCCTTTTCTGTAATCAGCAGGAGAATAATTTTAATAAACACATTAATATAAAACAGCATAGTCCCAAAGTTTTAGACTAAAACACTCATGGAAGTAAGTATTGTACATGAATATTAAGGATGTCGTTTACTCAGGTTTCAGAAAACAGAAAGGACATTTTATAAAGTGTAATATGTTAAATCAAAAATTGCTCTAAATGGATAAAATAACTAAGTTTTTACACAATATCAATTAAAAAATTTAATTTTTATTAGCTGAAGATAATATAAGGGAACAAAAATCAATGGTACTGCAGAGGAAATTGGGACTAAATTTTTAATTTTTAATTTTTGTCAATTTTTTTTTATTTCTTGCAATATTAATCACAATATTAAGATTACATGTATTTGTAATCATCATTTTGCAAATATTATTTGTGTTTAAGCTCATAAATTATTTCAAATAATTGAATGCTATGTGATAAAGACATTCAAAAATATTAACAAAAACCATTCCAAACAACATATCTCAATAATTTGATCATTGACCCCATATAATGTTAATACCATGAAAATTAAGGCAACGAAATTAACTTCATCCAAATGATAATATAGAGTTCTTATCAATCAGATATTTGTAATATTCGATTAAAAATGGTGGGAAAAATATAAATATGACAGAGGAAATTCGGACTGTAATAATTATCAAGTTTATGACCAAAACTCTAATCGTTTCTTTATATGAAGCATTTTATATTGCTATAATATTTCTTATTTAAAGAGTTTTGTTGCTTGTAATATTTTGTGAGTGAAGAAAAAATTGGTCATAGTGTGAAAAATTGAGGTATTTCCCGCAAAATACTCAGGATGAAGGGTAGGTCATCGACCTAGTAATTTGAAATTGAAATTTAACAGTGTACAATGTGAATTGGTGGTTTTTCGTTCTTATCAGTGGAATTTTTAGTCCTCTGAGTAAAGGTATACCTTAAAGTCAGTTTGTGTGTCACAATAATATTATTCTATGCTTTTTAACTGAAATCTTGCTAAAATTTGCCAATAAAATATAGATCATTATGTTAGCCTAACTGGATATTTATCAGAGCCCAATTTAATTAACTCTTTTTCATTAAGATGAACAAAAATATTTGCAGCGTAATTTCTAATTTGTGTGAAAAGATCACATCAAAATTGAATAAATTTCTATCTTACCAGTTCTTGTCTTTTATTCTGAAAAAGAATTGTGTAGATTAAAAAATGCATTAAACCGTTTAATTTCCACAACATTTATGAACATAGAACTGTACCTTCATTTCTATGTTTAAAAGTGAAAGCCCATGTGCCTTCCATATGTTAGTTTGTTTTCCGTTGACATTTTCAGTATTATTTGCAAAAACCTTTTAAAACAACTTTTCACACCAAAATTAGGCAAATATACAAATACGTTTAGTGTTATATACAATAAATCTTGTAAACTAAACAAATCGTGAACATGGCAAAATCCCTGACCCTTAAAAAGTTAAAAACCAAATAAGGAATCTGATGTCGGAAAGGGGGCCGTGTCCTCTGTATTGTAAAGGTAAAGGGAAGAATAGATTTTTAGTCTTTAAACTAAATGTATGGCCTTGCAATTTTAAAGAATCATGCCAGCCAGAACAATAGATAGCATTTGCAAAAAAGTTCATCAACTTTCACGGTTAATGTTGATGTTACAGATAAGTTGATTTTTGCAAAATCTTTGATCCTGACATACTGACCTCGTTCTCAAAATCAACCTTTAGTTGAGTTGCATTTTGTTTATTATACGATTTCATGCCATTTGCAGGTCATTGTTTTTATATTTAATTTGGTTACAGCGAAATAAAATAAAATATCCAAATATAAAAAAAAATAGTGACATCAAAAAGATGCTTAAGTTTCTGGTTGACAATCTATATGTTAATTTGATAGACCAGGTCTTTCAAGAATCTATTGGAATTCCCATGGGTACCAATTGCGCCCTGTTATAAGCAGAGCTATTTTGTATTTACATGAAGCAGAATTTGTGCAAAATCCTATACGTGAAAAGAAGAAAACACTTGTTGTGGCCTTCAACTCAAAATTTAAATATATGGACAACTTATTGTCAATTAACAATGGTAATTTCCATTCTTATGTCGATATGATATATCCTGGTGAGCTTGAAATAAAAGATATCACAGAGTCTTAAACATCTTTTTTTTATATATATTTGGATACTTTATTTCAAAAAAGGCGTTAATGGTAATCTAACAACCAAGCTCTATGATAAACGTGATGACTTTAACTTTTCTATCGTCAACTTCCCTTACTTTTGCAGCAATATACATTCATGACCTGCATAAGGAGTTTATACATCTCAGTTGATTCGATACGCAAGAACATGCTCTACATATGTACAGTTTCTAAAACAGGGTAAATTACTGACAAACAAGTTAATGAAACAAGAATATCAGCAGTCTCTTTTAAAGTCATCATTTTAGTAAGTTCTATAGTCGATACAATGACATTGTCAGCAAATATTATTTATCATTGAGTAAAATGCTGACTGACGTTTTTCATATTAATTGTTAGTCAATTATTTATACACTGAATTAACGACAGATTTTCTCAGAGTCGTTATTTCCCGGTCATGACAAGGAGCAAGTGGTCCGGGTGTGACCGGTCGGCAGGGGATGCTCACTCATCGATGGTACCTGATCCCAACTCTGATGTTTTGGAAGTCAGTGTTTGCTCTACTCCTATTTTGTATTGTTTTATGGACTTTTGATCTTGAATACTGTTCGTTATCTCCATTTTTTTCAATGAAAGGAAAATATAATGAATCACTGGTTTCGCCCGTTATGCAAGTTATTCCACGTTTCCAGCTATCGTTGATGCCCTAAACACCCAATAAACAAGACAGTGATTCCGTAAATAAATCAATGTGAAACGACACAGTGAAAAAAGAAATGATAGGTAAAGCAAACCTTTGCGATCCAAAAAATTAATTAAATATCCAGAACATACGTACATGTATTATTCGAGTTTTTAAAATTAATTACTACACAAGCTTCATTTTTGAATTCTATAAATAAGAATCTAGATGATGTTTCTTACCATTGTTGCATCTTAAGGCAGCCATAGCAAATGTCAACACACCGTATTTACAACAAAAATAGAGTCATGGATGTAACAGCTACTGGCTTCCTAGGCCTAATTTGTGACTAGTATAAACATCCTGCCTCTTGTCCTACTTGTATGTTCAGAGGAAATAATATTACGAAATTGCATCGCTGTGAATTCTTTAAGTCGCATTGAATAAATTTAAAGTAATTTCAGAATGATAATTGGGAAAAGTAAAGAAAATCATCTAAATCAGCAAGCTCTCAAGCAAATCAGCTTAAAGTTTCAACATATTAAGACCCCAATTTTAAAAAAAAATACATGTACATAACATCGATCATGGAAGCATAAAAATCTATAAGAGATACATATACATTTTATAGCTATAAAAAGAGTTCTTTTCTTCGTTTTGACTTCACTTTACATGTAAATGTAAACTTTGTATAAATGGGTTTTTTTCTTTGGCCAAAAAATGTGAGTTTATGATTAATTTCTTCAAACATTCTTAAATTACAAGTAAGTGTAAATATCAAAGCCTCAATTATTTATGGTATGCAATAGAAAACAATTTTCAAGTTCACAAACTCGGCAACAGAATGTATCATTAATGTACAATTTTCATAAAAAGTGTTTCATTGTAATTATTTTAGCAAATACATGTATACGTATGTCAATATTTCCCCTTCTACTGGATAGATCATATAACTTGCTAAGTATTTCTCGAGGTTAAAAAAATCTGTTTTTGTCCGAAATTTATATTAATTTCACTCTCCAGTGAAATTTATTGTATTTATTTCCATTCCTACGTTAATTCGATATATTCTATATTCCTTTGAACTCGAAATAAAGGACACCTTTCTGAGTCTGATACAACTTTTAATAGTTTGGATTTTTTTTTTACTGGAAAGAGATGTCAATGTTAAATGAAACCAAACAAAAACACTTACGATGATATGACGTCTTCAACTTTTTTATTGTTAAGTGAACCATGATACATTCCTTGCCTGCGGATGGAATTTTTAGTCATCCATATGATTTCATGAGTAGCCTGCCTTTTTACATGCTCAAAAACTTTCATGACAAGGGGAACACGGCATGTTTGACCGTTGAATGCTTCCACATCCATGGCACCTGATCCCATCTCTGATATTTTTAGAGGTCTAGGTTTGCTCTACTCTTGATTTGGATTGTTTCAGTTGACTCTTGACCTTAATGACTGTTCTTTATCTTTAAATCTCATACAGGTAGCTTGAATCTCACTGACAGGCCAGTGGTTATAAAAGTAAAGTGTGGAATATCTACTTTTCGCAGATTCTCCTCTGTCGGGATGAAAAAGTGGAGGGGAAGGGGTAACAATATAATGGAAAAAGAAAAAAAAAATCACCAGATAACGAAGAAGTTTTTAAATAATCTCTTCGTGGTAATTTACTGCTGTTCAAATTAAGGTCTTTCCACCCTTACAATTTTAATGGTTAAAAGTACAAAGATTAAATTTATTTTCATTTAATAACGTTTAAATTTATCAATCATTTCCAAAAATGCACAGGTCGCCATATTATTTAAGATGGGAGACGTAAATAAATAAAAACATATGTCAACATTAAAAAGATTGTACATTTTTTGTTAACAGTATCATAAATATTATGTAAAAACTGAGTCAAATGCATAATTATGATGCTTAAAGTTCCTACTTGCTACTTATAAGATGCATTTGAATTGTGAATATCAGGGAAACTATTTTTCATTAGAAGTACAATAAAGAAAATGCCCGAATGAAGCTACCTAAGCAGGAGTTATTGACCTTGTCAAATTTTTTTTTTAAGATTGAATAATTGATTCAATAGAGGAAATACGCATGTTTTTAAATTATTTTACTTAACAATATTTATCATTACACCTAAGGAAAATCATTCTTCCAAAATATATTGTTCTATTGGATATGAATTGAATTTAATAACAGTTTTTGCAGAAACCTATGACATCACAGGATGGTGGAATTTCCTTAAACACAAATCAAGTCTCAGTCATATTTAGACTTGTAAATGCGAATGTATGTGTACAGTCTGATTAAAATCAAACCTTCACTAGCTCCTGATTAGCTAGTGAAGGTTTGATTTTAATCAGACTGATATGTGTATTTACCAATACCAGTATATATAGCAAAGGTGTGTTTGATGTGGAAAAAAAGAGGGTCTTGAGGACGTCATTAGGTAGGGCGTACAGTAGTGAGGGTCTATAGGGCGAAACAGTCAAAAGGTTGCGAATTACCGGTATCAACATTTTAGGAGAGGCGATTTAAAGTAAATTAGTTTTAATTTTCAATATTTTCCTTAATTTGATTAAATAGAAATACTGGTAGGTTCTCTGCATTATGATTGGATTTGTTTTTATCAAAGTGTTGTACTTCAGAACTATCCCAAGCCCTATAAATTTGTAAAATGGCTATTGTTTTATTTTATTTAGATATTTTACAATTCTATTTTTCCATATTTTAAGTGTCGACACTAAGCTTCAAATTACTGTACATAATATTAAGAATTTCTTATAATGAAAAGTGAATTGCTATGTAAAATATTAGAAGAAAGTGTACATCTTTCTCTCCTCTCTTCTTCCCCCCTCCTCTCTCTCTCTCTCCCTCTCTCTCTAAAATGAAAAATATTACACCTTCTGTATTTGTTATTCATCATTTATTATATTAAATAACAGAATGTGTAAAACAAAAATAAAGAATTATTAAAAAAAAAAAAATCTTTCCTTTTTAAGCGGAAGCTATTTCGTTCCTGAAGAAATTTCAAAACTCACTCATTTTGGTGTATAATTCTATCAGTTCTAGTTTTTTGTTTGTTTATTTGTTTCCTTTCTCTGTTATCTTCAATTAAATCATATTTCTACTTATGAGATTAAAAAAGAGAAATAAAAAAGTATGAAAAATATCGTCAGTCGGAGTAAAGCATTCTAAATCTCTTTGATTTTATTTCTCATTTTTTTGTTTTTATGTGAATGTCAAGAATACACATACCGAATTATAAAGGTAATATTTCAAACACTTATACTGTATTTGGTACATGTATTAACATTGATTTTTGCATTCAAATCCAATCAAAATTATCAAACTAAGTAATAAACCAAAAGAATTATAACAATTGCAATAAGAAAGAACACCACAGAAAAGAAAATAATTGGACAATGGTTAATCCAGGTTGTCTTTTGTTCTGATGTTGATGTCATTGCCAAACCATATTCCTGAAACGATACAAATCAAAAATAAAAACGTCATTGAAATCTCTTTTTCAAAGTTACTTTTAATAAGATTATCAAGAAGCGTATATTAATTAGTCACCATTACAAATTTTATGATATTGAGTTATAAAAACTGAAAATTAAAAATTTAAGGCAGTTAGTGGATGTATGGAATGTTTGTAATCTGTTTACCGGTTTAGTCTTTTGGGAGCCAAGCAATGACATTTTTTCTTCTTCTGTCTTTGTTTTATCAGATTCCATGTATTCCATTTTATCAGATTTTGAAAAGCCGTCATGGAAAACGGAAGATCTACTTGAATTCAGTGACTCACTGGACACAGATTTAGACAGATCTGATGATGAATTCTGTTCGTCGAAATAATACATGTATGATATATTTAAAATTCGAATAATATTTCTGATGAAAAAAAATTCCAATTTATATCTTTTACTTAACCTTTTTTGATAAGAATTTTTGAAAAGATTCGACATAAAAGATTTTTAAAATCTTCTTTTCTAATCAAATAAATGTTTAGGACCTTAAACTGGCTGCAGGACTCTGTTCCATTTCTAGGAGAATGTGTTTCTGGTTTACAATCAACTATAGAGGTTTCCGTTTCCTGAATCTCTGCTGATCCGATTTCTTCCCCATTTTTAAACTGCCAGAAAGATAAATGAACAATCTCGTATCTTGCTGTAAAAAGCTCAATAAAAATTTTTCTCAATTCATTTATGAGGGGTTTTTGTAGATCAAGTTTTCAATCTAATTAAAATTTGATCTTTGATCCGCTCCAGTTTGATCGCTACACAAACTTGGTGTAGCGATCAAACTGTAGCGGATCAAAGATCTAATTTTAATTAGATTTTCA